GAAGGAGCCCCCAGGGCTGCGGGGATGCCCAGGGGCGGTGAGAACAAAGCCATGGGGTGCGGAGAGCGAAACGCCCAGCACGAAAGGCCGGAAACCAAACCAGCCAGAAAGACGACACCGAAACCAGCCCCAAAGAGCTCACGTGGAGCAGGGCAGAGCTGCACATCCTCTGCCCAGCCCTGCCTCCTTGGTAGGGGACCTCGCAACGCCCCGGTCCCTGAGACCCCACCGCACCGCGGTGCCGGGGCATGTACCCTTCAGGATGGTCTCGAACGCCTGCTCGACGTTGGTGGAGTCCAGCGCCGAGGTCTCGACAAACAGCAGCCCGTTGTTGTCTGCAACGAGAGGAGCCCCCCGAGACGATGCCAGACCCCGGCGAGGGCACAGCTCCATTTCTGAGCCCCTTTAGAGACGTTTGGGTGCCCGCCTTGGTGCGGGTCCCTGATATCAGAGAGGTTCCCAAGCCCCCAGCCCCGTGGCAGGGTGCCAGTACCTGCAAACATTTTGGCCTCCTCCGTGGGCACCTCCCGAGCCTGTGCAAGGTCGGTCTTGTTCCCCACCAGCATGACGACGATGTTGGCCTCGGCGTGGTCGTACAGCTCCTTCAGCCAGCGGTCCACCACGTCGTACGTCTGGTGTTTGGTGATGTCAAACACGACCAGGGCACCCACGGCCCCCCGGTAATACCTACGGGAGAACCCCACCATCACCCCACGCTCTGGACACCTCCCACAGCATCCTCGCCCATGGGGCTCAACTATGAGGGCATCACCGCCCAGGTACCAGGGGAAGCCTTGATTTCGGGCATCCCATCCTTACGCAGAGGTGATGGCGCGGTACCGCTCCAGCCCGGCCGTGTCCCAGATCTGAGCCTTGACCACGGCGTCTCCCACCTGGATGGTGCGGGTGGAGAACTCCACGCCGATGGTGGTGCGGCTGTCGTGGTTGAACTCGTTCCGGGTGAAGCGGGAGAGCAGGTTGGTTTTGCCCACCCCAGACTCCCCGATGAGGACGACTGCGGAAGGAAGGGAGAAAACCCACCGGGGCCATCGAGGGCTGCTCCAAGAGACTTCACAGCAACTCAAATAACCCTTTCC